TTATGATTATTTTTAAATATTAATTTAGCTTTTTTTTAATTATTACTGATCTTATAATTCAATTAAATTTCAATATTTGTAATGAAGTTTTAAATAATAATGGTCTATGTGCATTATGCAATGCTTAGAAAATCCACATTTATTCTTGCATGGTCTTTGAGAGCTTTTACGTATTAATATTATTATTATTATTATTATTATTGATATTTATTGACTTATGTGGCGTCACCACGATGTAATTACTCATAGCGACGCTTTATTTGCAAATGTAAAGTATACAATACAAGTAAAAATGAGTAAAACAATTTCAATTCATCAATTAGTTGTAAAAACTGTAAAATTTATGCGTATGTATAAAACGCCTAGTTATAAAAAAAATTATTCTTTTTTAATTTAAAGTTAAAAATTATACCCAAGAAAGCATTTTCAAACACGGAATATAATAACACAAGCCATAAAACTTCTGAGAAAGTAATTGGTTATTCAGAGCCTGACACACCTTGTGGGTGGCACACGATGCGTCATAACAGTCAAATGAATACCTTTGTAAAGAAAACTCTCGATTTCCTCGTGCGACAAAAGTGGACACAATGCGACATAAAACTTCAAAGGCCGGCAGCTGATAAAAGTGAGAGGTCGTGCATTTCCGACTAATTCTTTGATGTCGCGCCGACGTCGTATTACTCGGGCAATATTTAACAATCAGCGCAAGTGGGTAATCGTGTCCGTCTCTCTACAAATGCAAATTTAATGTATCCTGCGCGAGAAGGAGGAATTCTGGTGATAAAAATATTACCTACTCTCGTGATGAAAAGCGCACAATGAGCGAGAGATGCATTTTTGCGATTTCCTCTGCGCACGCAATGCTGCACAAAGGGAATTTCATATGCAGATAATTTGAATATATTCGCGCAGGGACGTCTGGAAAATATATTTCTCGGGCAGGCTCTTCTGCGTATTCATCTCGTTATATCATTTTATTACACACAGGCCGGAGAGTATGCATTGTTATAATAAGATGACCCTGAATAATATAAAAGTCGGTGTCTGCTGGCAGTTATAACTCGCCAGTGGAATAAATTTAATGAGTTTGAAGCAGGCAGCCTTCGAGACCAGAGACCGCGGCTGGCCGCTCTTCTTTCTTTCTTTTTCTCTTCTCTCGGCGCGGATAAGGAGCCGGCCGAGAGATATCAAAGTGACTGATCATCTGAGGAGGCTCTCTGAGCTGCCTGGAATTATTATTGTTGTTACCACTCCAATTGTCCATCTCCGCATTCGAGATCTCTCGTCTTATAAATATAAATCCTCGGAGCGGCGTTGTCGGATTTGCGCCTCACTCGAACACAATTCAAATGATGCGCGCAGACGAGAGTGAGAAAAAAAGTTAAGAAGTCGATGCACTTTTTCTTACTTAATCATCTCTCTCGTCGCACGGGGGAAGTGGACGTGCCGGTCGATTTTTTATAGGAAGCCACAACCCTGAACAAATGGTAAACAAACTCCAATTATTGGATGGATTCTCTTACCTCATTGGCTTGTTGGATACAAAATAAAAAAGGATTCCAATCAGTGTAGCCACTGACAACGAGAAAAGAAAAGTATTATCAAAGAGATGAGATTAACATATTTATTTTTTATCTTTTCTTATAGATTGAAAATTGTTCAACAAAGTTAATTGACTATAATTTTTGTTGATGACATTAATTTCAAAATGTATTTCACATATTTTGAAGGAGAAATTTGGAGAGCACAGAAATTTCCACATAAAAAAATAAAATTTTTGTTAATTTACTTAATTATTATCTATTTTTAACTAAAAGGAATATGGAAATTTTTAAATTATTCTCAATCCTCCTGATTTTGATGTAGGAATTTAAGCTTAATTCCAATTTCGTATCCTGTATTTCTTTACATCTGAGAAATCACCAACCTAGATGCGCTTGAATAGATTATTAAGACGCACAGAGCAGCCCTTCTTCTCTTGTTTATGGTCCGATCAATTTGTTCGAAGCATCTTTTTGGACGGCCGAGTCAGCATCTTAATGGGCTCGATTGGATATCATCATCACCGTCGTTGAGAGCGAGAAGTCGCCTTTGACTTTTTTTAATTTAATATCGTGACACGTACAAAGAGGGGAAATTCAATCACGGGCTCACATTTATTCAAAACCTCTGCTATGTCGGGTCCAAACATATATTCATAAAAGGATAAAAAAAATTTAATACCCGATCCAACCTGGTGGATAATCGAGCAAATTTCCTGCTAAAACGCAATTTCAGAGGGCGTGTGTGCGAAAAAATTGCCGGTTTGAACCACCGAAATTTGCATTTTTTCGTTTAATTTTTAATTAAATCCGCTTTCCAGCCGGCGAGAGCCACCGGGAGCAAATGAATTACAAATTAGAGCCGCTTTTCGCACACGATTTTTTTTTTACTCCACCATTCGCAAATTCATCCGCAGCCCCGCAGGTCTATAAAGATAGAGCAAACACGGAATTAATTTGGAAACAGGCTGTTCGACTCTGAAGAACACCACTTTATGCTGATATCAAAAGTTATCTCTCGTCAGGCCTTTGTTAAAAATATATATCGTTCTGTAATTTAGAAATAAATTAATCAAGCGGGAGTTAAAACTGCTAACGAGCACGAGTGATATCCGAGGGGCCAAAAAGGTTACTTTCTGCGGCGGCAGGTGAGAGAATAAAAAAGGCCTTGTGACGGCAACTCAGCATTAACAAGACAGCCAGAAGAAGAAGAAGAGAGGAACCGGCTAACAACAGTGGGAGCAAAGACAAAAGCTGATAAAGATCACTTCATTCTGAAGGCCCACTTTTATATTTTATATATAAAAACCAGCAGAGAGCAGAGCATGCAGGAAAGCCTAAACTATAATGTTTCCCTCGCTGGCTTTTTGCGGCGCCGCTTTTGCTTTTTATTTATGTACTTTCGGCTTAAAAGGATCTCTCGAGAGAAAGAGAGATGCGTGGCGCAGATTTGGGGAAGAATTTCGAGAAATTAAAATTCAACACACTCACTGGCTGTTGGAAAACGCTGCCGGAATTTATGGAAGTGATCTATACAGAGAAGGAATTTCGAGCAAATCACTGCTATTATTTCCCGGAGGAGAAACCTTGGCAAGAATTCGAGGCAGCGAATAAATAATTAGGTGCGCGATTGAGAAAATTTGGTCAATGGCACGGCGAAAGTGAAATTAAATTTGGACTGGCCGAAAATTACAAGTTTGTGTTTGTAAACAATGGAGCGGCGGTGCGGTATGTAATTTGATTGTTATTTTATAGAAATTTATAAAGTTGCACCGGCCTATAATGATTCAATAGCCCATTTCAATGACCTAAATTTTATTTATTAAAGGACATTCAATAATATAAATTTTTTCCTCAAAATTTGTTTATTTGAACAGGTTTTTCTGCATTGCAAAATCACTTTTTTTTTATCAATTAATATGAAAATTAAAACTCACCGAAATTTAAAAAAATTACAATTTTTATCCATCATGGGCAGCTAGAATTAAGTAAGCATTAGACTTGTATGTACTTTTGTTGAAATTTTCTCAGGGAAAGGCAATTCACACTCCCTTGCATCTTATTTGACGAATTAATTAATTTTCTGTACCTTTTTTTTTATTTGCGCACCTGTGTAACCTCGGAAGGCATTCGTTTTCCGAAAGGTGCTAACGAGCCATTTTACTAAATGCTGGAATTTCAACCTTCTTGTTAGCATTGTTCGCCGCTGAGAATTATTTCATAGAAACGTCCCATGGGAAAGAAGTGTTTGAAGAGTGTTTCACACCTATTTTATGGATGGACACACGGCGGCAGCGCCCGGGAGGAACGCAACGTGCACAGCATCAAGGATGCCGGTCGGCACCTTATTCAGAGGCGGCAATTGTCAAAAATAACACGGCCCTCGGAGCATTTTTATTCGGAATATCATAACTGGACTTTGGATAAACACACTACTCACGGACGCCGCCGTAAAAAGAGAGAAAAAGACATCTCGCCGGACGCAATAATGGAGATGCCACTTTTCTCTCTTGATACGGCGCCGCGCGTTTTTATTCATCACCGGCAGCAGCCATAATAGTAATAACAACCGATAATACTTCCCTGAGGGTCTCGATTTATTTATACTTCACATACATGCCGATAGCGTAAGAACAGTAAGGAATTTTTAATATTGAAAAGCCCAGGCAGTAATAATGCCAATCCATCACCGATATCGACTCTCGTCAGGTTCCGTTTCAATGTAATTTTTACTAAATCACCTTATTCTTGGCTAATGACAACATTAAACATTCTGTGGGCATTAAAGCTATCTTTATAAGAAGTTTCTCATGGTACACCACACTATTATAGTTTGCTTGTTAATTAAAATATTATTCATAAAATATATATTTTATTTGTCATTTCACATATTTTCTTTTAAATTATTTTTTAAAAGTTTTATTTGTATTATTAATTTTTATTATTATGCTACTATTTTAAGTTTGCTCTTAATATAATAAAACTTATTAAAAGTATTAATTATACTATTAAATAGTAAATTACTGTATACATTTTTATATAGTGCTAATCACTGTAAAGTCAAAATATTAAATTGAAACACTTTGTTTTTGTGTTCCTGGGACTCTTTTCGCTTATGAATTATTTATTAGAAAACCCAGTTGTTCCATCGATACTAAAATATTGTTCACCTTCTGTACTATAATAGTACTAAATTCTTAGTACACTTTTGGCAATACTATCTAGTACAATTTTAGTACAGATTCTGATACTTAGTTAATACTTTTTTAGTATTGTTTTTAGTACGATATTTCATACTATTCTTGTGCGGCCGAGGTACGACATTGTACTTTTTAAGTACAAGAAATTGGACTAAAATCATACTAAATTTTGTACTATTTTAAGGTTTTCTCTGCATAAAAAATGGTACTTGTTCTGTTTAGGGAAATTATTTATTGATAAAATATTTTGATCCTCCTACAATATATCTTCCTCCAGTTCTTCCTCAGCACTTGGGTTGTTTTTGCGTTTTTTTGCAAATTCACTGCCACGGCCCATTTTCTTGTTGTACTCTTTCAACTGCTCCTCCGTCGGGTCAAAGCCGTAGTTGTGCCTCTGGTTGTTAAGAAAAATGTTGATTTTGCGCACAAGAAAGGTTCTGGTGTCTTTGTCAGTCTTTTGCAATTTCCAAGATTTCTTTCTAGCCAAGCGTATGCAGTGAGCTAAAATATGAAAACAAAAAATTATGAATAATTGTAAAAAATTAAAAATTAGTTCTTTTACCAATAAAAATTTGAAGGGGCTTGTCAGGAAGACCTGCTCTGGCATGACCATCTGGTGACTGCCCTTTGCTTGATCCTGTGCAGGTGCAAAAAAAAGCAACATCATGCCTGAAGAAAGCCTCAAGTGCCTGGACTGCGTAGGAATGCACTTCCTTAGAATTGTTTACGGCCCGAGCCAAAAGTGTTTTGCTGGCAAAAAACACACCTTCTTGTTCAAACGGTTTTCCAAGATCATAGAGCTAAATTTATAAAGACAAAATGTTACTTAAAAAATAATAAGTTTTTTGAAATACTTACATTTGCTCCATTTTCAGTATGGACAAGCGCATATTTGAATTCGTCATCTGGCTTAGACCTTAATTGGGCCACTCGTTCACTTAAATTAAAAATAAATATTAAATAATTAAATTTATTTTTTCAAATATATAAAACCTACTCAAAAATCTTCCACTTTTCATTCATATCTGATGGGAAAACCAAAGAACCAAGTCCACTATCAGGCTCCACTTCAACATTTTGCGGATCATCATCCAGTATAGACATTTCAAATGCGTCATTATTCGGCTGTGGATTATATCGACTGCCGGGGTTGTTGGCCAAATCTTGGAGTTGCTGCACTATTCCAGGTAGTTTGTTGAACACATCTGAGAAGCCCTGGGCTATAAAAATTAAAATATTTTAATTTTGATAAAAATATTTTCATTTCAATATCTACCATCCACAACCATGATACCTTCTTCATTGGCAATCTTTTGAAAATGTTTTTCTTTCTCAATATATTTGGACATACTGAGAACCTTCTCATTAGACGCCTTTAAACGCTCCTGAAGATCAGATTTTGTAGAGGTAAGGCTTCCGATTTCATCCTGTAGCTTTTTAATTTCACTATCCCGGTCTAAAAGTTTCGCGTTCAGAACAGAATTTTCCTTTTCTAATTCAGTGTTCTTTCTTTGCGTCTCAGCCAGCTTAGCAGTCACTTCATTTGATATTAACTCTGTTAATGAAAAAAAAATAGCTTAATGCTTCATTCAATTTTAATAAAAAAAATTTATAAAAATTAAAATAAATAATAAGGAAATACCATTCTGCGCCTTTGTCCCTTCTTCGAACCGCTCCTCTCTAGCTTGATTGAGAAGATGTTTCTCAAATAAACCTACTTGAGTAGCCTGTGCATTAATGTCAGCCTTCTTTTTTGCCTGAAATAAAACAGATGCGGTAAACTAAATAATTTATGGATAATTAATTACTTGTCTCTTCCCCTTCGCAAGCAAGTTTTTTTCATTACGAGATTCTTGAGTCTCATTTGCATTCCTCTTTTTGGTAACCTTGGGTTTTTTAACTGGCTCCGGTGAAAATTCTTCATCACTCAATTCATCATGTTCTTCCGAAGGATCTATTAATATAAAACAGGAAAGTCAGTTATATTCAAACTTTCCATAAAAGATTCAAGGGAGGTTTTGACTTTTTGATAAATCATCATCAAAGGATAGTTTCATCGGGTGTAGATCACTTAAACTGACCTACTACAATAATATTTGCATTGACCACGAGAGGTAGAGTAGAGTATGTTATTACGACGTTTTTAACCCAATCAAAAAATTTTAATCCACAGAGTTAAAGCCGTATAGGGCATGGGATAATTAATTGGAATTACCTTCATCTTCTAAAATATTTGGTATGTCCTTTTTCGCAACATTACTTGTAGATCGTGTTGGTCGTTGTTCTTTGACGATTTCTTCGGTCTCGGTTTCTACAGAGTTTTGCTCGACAACCTTCTCGGTTGGTGCTCGTTTTTTCCCGACCATACCAAACTTTTGAAATTCAACTTAATCTTAAGGAAATTAAATGGCGAACAATATAAATTGGCAAAAAATATTCCAGATTCAGGTACCCACGACCACGAGGTAGGTCAGGTACACAGGTTAAACCGAGCTAAGTATAGGTGGCGATGTGTCAGGTTGCCATGCCAACATAACAATATTACAATTATCAAATTTAATTTTCATTATTGAAATTTGATCTTGTGTAAGAGATATATTTTATTATTGAATTGAAAAAAATATTATATTCAGCAATTGTGAATGAGAAAAATAAAAAAAATCGATTGTATTGTAAAATGAACAAATCATTAATTTCAGGTAAAAGTTGGCAAAATGTGTAGGTGGCGATGCGTCAGGTTGCCATTGCCATGCCAACATAACAATATTATAATAATCAAATTTAAATGTGAAATTCAATGACACGCCGGCAATGAGAAATGATGTATGGAAACAACCCTTGTTTGATAAAAGACATGTGTTTTGTCGCTTTGCCATGCACGGCTTTCATAATCAAATCTGTAGCAATAGTTCCGAGCGCCAACAGTGTTTCGAGGAAAGTGATTCATGCGTGTGTTTGCTATGCGGTGAGAAATGCACCCAATATCATCTGGCTGAGTGCAACCACCGAGTGCTTAGCATTAATGACTATTCTAAAAATAAGTGAAAAACTTTGGAAACCCTGTCGCGCAAACTGATAAAATAAATTGTGAATCTTAATTTTAACCTTCTAAGATGTAAGTTGAAAGTTGTACTCAATTGAGTTTTCAATAAAGACCATATATAATTTTAATTATTGCAATTTGATCTTGTGTAAGAGATATATTTTATTATGAATTAAAAAATATTATATTTAGCATTTGTGAATAAGAAAAATAAAAAAAAAATCGATTTTATTACATATTGAAAAAATCATTATAATTTCAGGTAAAAGTTGGCAAAACCTTCGAAAATTGTGGGTGGGCGTGGGCACATAAACACTTGTTATGCTTTGGTTTTGAGATAGTCGAAATTTATATTATTGGGGTTTTTGATTAATTAATTAAATTTAAGCCAAGCTTTTGAGATAAAAATGAGTAAGCGCAACGCTCGATACAAAGAGTGGCTGAGGGATCCAAGCGTTCGGGTAATTTGATCTATTAAGAAATTATATGTTAAATATAAAAAAAAATATTTATATTTTTACCACTAGGTCCCTGCAAAGATACTAAAAAAAAGAAAAGAACTGCCAGCCACTGTAGCTTCAGTTTTTTCTGACTCAGAGTCTGACTTAGAACATGACATTGAAAACACCATGCAAGGTAATTAATATTAAATGTCAAACTTACAAGATAAATTAAAATTAATGTCTTTTTGCAGTTGAAAATATTATCAGTACCAACAATTTGGAAGCTGAGGCACAGCAAAGAATTTTTGATGTATTTGAAGGACTTGATAGTGAAGATGATAGTGATGGTTAATAAATAAATTAATGAATAGTGCAAATGCCAATTAAAAAAATTTAATATTTTTTGCAGGGCACTCTCTTTCTGATAGAAGTGAGACTTGTTCATTGCTCTCTGACTCCGATTCCGATGGGTCATTTCATTTCGATGAAACAAGTGACGAAACAAGCAAGGAAGAGGAAAATACGGAGGAAAACTGCAAGTCTGGTAATTTAAATTCTAAGATTTACGATAAAAGCAAATATACTTTATGTGAATTCATTCTTGACATAACAAAACTATTCAAATATTTTAAAATTTCTAAAAATTGTGTTGTAGCAATTTTAAAATTGTTTGGGAAATATCTACCATCTAATAATATTGTTCCTCGTTCAAAGAAAACATATATGAATATTATAAATGAAGTAACGCCAAAAATTGAGTATAAAATGAAATATATTTGCGTAGAGTGTGGTACTGGTAATGGGGAAACAAAACCAGAAACGTGTAAAATTCTTACTTGCAAATCAACTAGCTTTTCAGTTTCACTAGAAAACAATGTTGAAGACATTTTAAAATATTTTTTTGAGAAAAGAAATCTGGCAAAGCATATGGATGAAAAAAGAGAAGCTAGAAAACATGTGAACGATTTCATCTCTGACATTGATGATGGGGAAAACTATAAAGCTATTGAAAAGAAATCAGTCTATGATATTGCTCTAATACATAATACTGATGGCTTTCCATTGGGTAATAGTACTACTATGCAAATATGGCCTAATTTTTTAGCTATTGTAGATATTCACCAAAAATTAAGGATAAGCTACTTAATTTTGGCAAATATATATTGTGGGCCATGCAAACCAAGCATGGATATGTATTTAGAGAGTTGGGCAAATAAAATGGAAAACATAGGAACCAGAGGCATTGAATGGAGACACCCAGTTAGTGGCAGTATTATGAATACCAGGGCAAGTGTCATAGTCAGTGCAGTTGACGCTCAAGCTAGAGCCCCACTTCAAAATTTTGCTTATTATAACGGAGCATATGGGTGCAGTTTTTGTGAAATAAAGAGCGAACCTTTGTCAGAGAGCTCAGAGCAAGAGTTGTCAGTTTTTGACAAAGATTCTGTTAGCTCCAACGTTTGCTACTATCCTTACAGACTGAGCCTCTCAGCTGTTGTTCGGACTAAAGAAAATATTATGCAGCATGCTGCTGATATGATCAATCCTGAAAAGTCCGGGCTCAGGGATAAATCTGAAAAGCATATAAAGGGAGTAAAAGGTTTCAGCCAGATGGCTTTTCTTCCTAATTTTGATATATCAACAGGATTCTCGCCAGATTTTTTGCACAGTTGTTTACTCGGAGTTGTCAAAAGACACCTGCATAATTTATTTGATAGCAAATATAAAGAAAAAGAATTTCACTTGACTCCTGGCATGAAAACTTTGATATCAAGTCGTTTAACTGCTATAAAACCTCCAAATATAGTTACCCGTTTACCGCGATCATTAAAGTATTTGAAACAATGGAAAGGTAGTGAATACATGTGGTGGATTTTATTTTATGCACTGCCTTGCTTAGAGAAGATAATTAAAAATCAAAACTACTTTGAGCACTTGATTTTACTTGTCAGGGCAATTCATTCCCTTTTAGAAGAAAATATTACTCAAGCTGAAATAGAATACTGCAAGACTTTGTTAAATATGTTCTGCGCAGCATACAGCGAATTATATGATCCACAAGAAGAAACTTTTAATTTGCATATGCTTCTGCATTATGCAGATTCTGTAAAAAAATGTGGTCCACTTTGGGCAACATCTACTATGATGTTTGAGAATGCAAACAATTTTCTAAAGCGTTCGATTCGTGGAAGTAATAACGTCAATAAAGAACTCCAAAATACTTCTAAAATATATTCGGCAATTCATGCACTAGAAATTATTTGCAAACAAAATGATGCTGAGCAGAGTAAAATTTCAAATGTTCTTGGATTTGGAAAACCTTTAGCCACCTTGCCTCAAGAAATTATAGATTATATTAATTCGCTGGATAGTTTTCATGACTCAATAAATGCTAAAGTGTTTTATAGGGCTAAAATTAATGGAATAACATACACGTCAATGTATTACAAGAAGGCACAGAAAACATGCTCTTATTATGCGCAAGTACATAATGTGTATCATAATGAAAGAGAAGTTGATTTTGTTAAATTAGTAGGATTTGTTGAGTTCAATGAAAAAACAATTTTTTTGGGGAAAATGGTCAAAGTCTTTGGTTCCGCATATAAATCCCAAAGGTTTGGTGTTGAAGCTAAACATATTAGAGTAAGTTTGGACACAAGTACTCTTGTTTCAGCGCCTCTTAACTGCATAATTAAGCCACTTTTCAAAATAGAAGACAAAATATGTATTCCTCCAAAAATATGGAGTACCAAACTGTAAGATACTAATGAAAACATTTTTGCTGCAATTTTTTGTATTATTA